GTGTGTGTGTGTGTGTGTGTGTGTGTGTGTGTGTGTGTGTGTGTGTGGAGGTAAATGAGGCCACAGATTGTGCTGCAAAGCACTTTGAGTATCTTGATTAGACAGAAAGGTGCTATATAAGTACAATCCATTTACCATTGACAATTGACCATTTCCAGTTGATTGAGGCACAAAAACAACATTATATTGTGATAAATGATCAGTTACTCGTTTTAAAGGCCTGAAAACCTGCAGCTAAAGATCTTACACTTATTGTTGCAGCAAACAAACCAAGATGTTACAATGCCAGTGACCCAGAGCTGAACTCTACAGCTTGGTTTGCCGAGTACATCGGCCCGTTCATGCCCTTCCTCACTCTGGAGGTTCTTCAGTCATTCGGGCCTGAAGAGGTACTGAACCAGGACTGCAGATCAACAACTACATATTCAGTACAAATGAATTTGATTGGTTTCTCTCTCCCTGTAGGCTCTCCAGGTGTTCACAGTGAACCCTTTGAACATCGCGCTCCTCAACCACTCGGTTTTACCTCAGAACCTCACTGACTACTACACCCAGCTGGTTTACCAACAGGACAGTAACTTTGACCCATTACTGTGAGTAAAACATGCTGAACCATGCAGCACCCACAACAGTCCCACATACATTAGAGTGTAAAGGATCTTTTTTTGTAATAATAATAATGATAATAATAATAATAATAATAAAGAGCCATTTCGGTTTCTGTGCTCACTAAATAAAACATGTTTGAAGCCACAAAAACGGTTGCAACTGTGTTTATCAACTGGTGGCTCATGGGCCACTTTGTTTGTTTGAGGGGGAGTTTTCCAGTCAGTGAAATGTCTATAATGAATGTTAACATTTATTGATATTTTTACATTTTATGACAAAAGAAAATATTATATTCATGTAAAAAATGGAGGGATAAAGTTTATACCAGTTTTTTTTTTATAAAAAGTAAAAGGCTGGACTCTGCAGGCCCATGTGAGTCATTTTAATTATGGAAATATTAAGTATTTGACTTAGAAGTAGTAAAACATAAATTTAAAGTGTGTCAAAAATTAGGCCATTTTATTGGATTCTGTGACTTGGGTTTTGAAGTGGAAAACAAAAAATTTATTTAATTTGACTTTATTTTTACTAATTCTTATTGTTTTCAAACAGACCATGTCAAGCCATATTTCTTCTAAGCAACTTGTCCTGAAAGTATTCCAAAGAGTTTCTGGGGGATTTGTGAGAAACATCTCGATGTTAAACTAAAAGCTGGATAAATGAAGCAGCTACCAGTGTTCTTGGCTGTATAAGTTGCTGGTTTTGCATAATTTGCATGCCCTGCGACTTATAGGCCAAAGCGATGCATTTATGAATTTTTTTCTCATATTTATAAACCAATTTTTGGCAGAAATATGACCGTTTTCATTCATTCTGACTGAAGAAATAGAACACTACCATTTTCAGCCACTAGATGGGAGCAGATTAGTAGGCATGCTGTTGTATCATGTAATAGGTAAAAGTGGCTACTAAATTCAATTCAGTTTATTTATAAAGAGCCAAGTCACAACAGAAGTAATCTCAGGGCACTGAACAGAAACATCCATACATAAAAATAACAAGTTAACACGATATATCTGAGGAGCAGACTGCTTTGAATTTAATGACACAATCGAGTTGCCATACATATAGACTGCCACCGTCGTCTGCCTGGAGCAACGAATCAGCTTCATTTTGCTGCGTCGTCCCCATGAAATGCAGCTGATTTGACCGACAAAGTACATTTATTAAGCAAAAGGTAGACTGAGACACACCTTTGCTATAATTTCAAGCAAAATGTTTTTACGTGTTAATCTTGTTAATTTCTTGTTAAAGTCCTCCCGTGCACGCTCCCGCGGCCGCCATTTGGCAGCCCATCAATTTTTGGCACAACACCGGCCCACATTTCCGGGTTGTCAGCGGTGACGTGAAAAAAAAAAACGCGATGCATCAGCGGTGACGCATAATAGATGCAACATATACGGCAAAGCGACATATTTATGGATTTTTCCACTTTATTAGACATATTTGGACTGATGCAACTTATAGGGTGGTGCGACAGTATGGTGGAAAATACAGTAAATCTAATCATGCTTTGCTCCTTGAATTTGTATCGTTCACATGATTGCAGAAAATTGACAGGAAAAATGCTAAAATTGCCATTTTCTTTTGTGGGCATAAAAAAAAAACCCAATTGCAATTAATTTCATGTTAGTTTTGGTCAAAGCTTCAAAGAGCTGCAGCAGTAGGACCAAAGACCCACATGTGGCCCCTAAGCAAAGGGGGCCAAGATGGGGTAGAGGTAGGGCAGTCAACTTGGTACCAGAAAGTTGCGGATGGACTCCCAGCCATTCTCACACGTCGTGGTGTCTCTGAGCAAGACATCTAATCCCCACTTTGCTCCCCCGGTGCTTACATACTGCTCCACCTGGGCGTATCTCACATGTTATGGGTTAAATGCAGAAAACTAATTTTGCCCTTGTATAGAAACATATAATGATGACAATCTCAGACTTCCCTTCCCCTAAGTCACAGGTTGCAGACCCCTGCATCAGACAGAACCACACATTATGTCAAATGTGGCCTTCATGCTGCCCTGTGTGACAGATGTGTTTACTCTCTTCACAGTCTACCTCTGTTGTGTCGCTGCGTTGCTCCTGGTCCAGCATTCATCCAGCTGAGCGCAGAAGAAAGTATGATTGTTCTGCTAAACCTCACGACTGTCTGTACAAACCTGGATCCACAGGTACAATCACACATGGACACGTGGTTGCCCTGTTTTTTGGGCAGATGGTCTTTTTCTTCAGAGACTTCTCTCATTTTGTAGCCCAAAAGCTGTTCCTTTGTAATGACTTTGATCAGCCTTGCTTCTTACGTATCCTTAGATCGCTGCTGCTTTGTCGAGTAATTTCGGGGACAACATAGATGCCACGGTCATTTCTGCCCTTGGTAACCAAAGCACCAGCATCTCCACGGGCCAGATCAAGATGATATCACCTGAGACCCTGAAGAATGCTCTGAACGTTCTCGCAAGTGTAATGGGCTGGAGCGAAGGACAGACCAAAGCCATCATCCAGTCATTGATGTCTTCAGGCCTTTTCCAGGTAACTTGTGCCTTCACAGATGAACTTAGGATCACGACTGTGAGAAACCTTGTTAGAAGTGTATTTGGTGTGCCACTTCAACTCTTATTTTTTTAAACCCTTCCAGATCAACAGCTCGTCCTCACTGTTAACGCTGGGCACTCTCATTATGGGCATTCCCTCCAGAGTGTTCCTCAGCATCAGCAGCTCTGAGATCCTAACTGCATCCAAATATTCCTCTGTTGTGGGACACATAAAGTCTGCTCCGAATGTTGTTCAGCAGTCTTTTGTCACTCAGGTACGACAGCTTCTTATCATATGATGGTACGGGGTTGCATTTTACACAGAAAAAGGATTTCCTCAAAGAAAAATAGCAGGGAATATGAAACATACAGTGCAAATAATAAATCATATCTGATCATTTTAGTACAACATGGCATAAATTAAAAGCCACAAAGTTGTATTTTGTGTAAACGTGGCATTTGATTCCATTTATACCGATTTAAAGGGTTGCTGTGGGTACAACTACTTCAAGTGGAAATTCTGATTGTTTGAAGATTGATTTTGTGGAAAACTATGAACATTTAACATCTGACTCAATGTAGATAGATCCACAAATGACCTCAGTTTATTTATGACCAGATTGACGAGCTAATGGCTAGTCTAAGAGGAATAAAGATGGAAGTAGATTTATGCTCTAATACAACTTGAATCCTGTTTATTTTGAAGCCATTTATGCCAACACTATTCTGCAAACTTTTACACTGCTGTAAATTATACTTTACATGGTTATTTACATGGAGGCTTGGGTTTTTTGCAAGCACAAATGGTGACAGCAGCAGCACCCAGCCTTTCATGAAGCTTGGGGCAGTTCTGATATAATTACACCGAAAACCTGTGTAACGCAAAACTAACAGCAATGTAAAGACTGATAAAATACAGTTTAGGTTAAAATATTGGAGTTATTTTGAGACAGTAATGATCCATTTTGGTCCTAGTTTTGCTCAGACTAGCCATTAGCTCATCACTCTGATCTGGGGAAAAATATATCTTCAAAGGGAGTCTATTCAAAGAACTATCTACAACAGGTAAGATATTAATTGCTTTTATAGTGTTTCCACAGAATTTCAGTTAAGATCCAAACTACAACCCAACAAAGTTCAGTCAGGTCATCTGGGCAGTTTATTTTCGTTGAGATGGTTCGTCCTTCATCCAAAGGACTTCAGTTCGAGAAGCCACAACAAACTTAGTCCCACAAGCAGCACACTCACATAATGGACCAACTAGTTTGCTGGTGATGGTTTCTGGGGCCCACCCTCTCCCCCATCGACTCCTCTGAGGCAGCCACAGCCAAAGTGGTTCAAAACATCAAAGTTTGTGCTCAATAATCCAGGTAGAAAATCCAAAAAATGTTCAGTCAGGTCCTCTGGACAGTTTTTTGTTTTGTTGAAACGTTTTGTCCTTCACCCAAAGGACTTCATCACTCAGTCCAGAATTATTGAGCATGAACTTTGATGTTTTGAACCACTTTGGCTATGACTGCCTCAGAGGAGTCGATGGGGGAGAGGGCGGACCCCAGAAACCATTTTAATACCATCAAACTAGTTGGTCCACTATGTGAGTGTGCCGCTTGTGGGACTCCGTTGTGGTTCGTCGGACTGATGAAGTCCTATGGATGAAGAACGAAACATTTCAACGAAAAAAAAGAACCATCCAGATGACCTGCCTGAACATTGTTGGATTATTGAGCATGAACTTTGATCCAAACTACTTTTTTTTCAATAGGTTATATGAAAATTCTCTGAATTATAGCTGGAAGAGTAAAAATATATTTTTTTAAATTATGACTTTTTTTTTTCCACCTCTAACTCCATTAGAGTTATATTAATTAATTAGGTACATATAATAAAAAAATAAAAACTCAAATGAAGAAAAACAGCCATTTATTTAGATCTAGAGTCAGTGCTGACACCAACTTAAAGCTCCACGGGTTATCCATCAATAATCAGCCGGATTCAAACTCCTAACAAACTTAGACTTATTTATTCAACAGCTCACTCTTCTCCATCTTCCTGTCAGATCATATCAGTGAACAACAACAATGAGATGGTCATACAGAACGTTCCAGATGAGCTGGCCACTGAGATCCCTCCAGTTCTGCTGCAGGGCTTCACAGTCAGCAGCAGCGTCGTCGCCACACTCAACAAGAAGACTTGGAAAAAGCAACAAGTAAGGAGACGTTTCTCATTTGAGAAACTGTGAGATATTTAGTTATCTTTGTGTTGTCACTATACATTCATGAGTCTGACTTTGTGCCGTTAGGCTGAGCTGTTCTTCAACGTAATCGCTGTGGAAAATGCCACCGCTGATCTGGGAACTCCAGACAAGTAAGTTAAGTTTTTTTAGAGATTGGTGAGATAATACCCTGCAGATCGATTTCAGTGTACGTGATCCTCACATCGGGACAGTTTATAGCTTACAGTTATGTTTTATTTGCAGTTTGACCTCCTCTGTGCTGCAAGGCTTCACGTGCACGAGCGTGAGAACAATTCCAAAGGTGCAGATCAAGAAGCTGATCAGAGCCTGCAGGAGGAGAGACCAGAGCAAGGTCGTCCTGGAGGAGACGCAGGTGAGTGAAGGCTGCTGGGATGATAAATGTATTTGCAGCACGAGTCGGGGACTTGCAGAACTTTTAGGGAGGACTAAAAAAGTCAAAGTATAAATCATAAGGATGAAGGTCAACGTTTGAGTGAGGCTGCAGTAAATGAATTAAACTTCACGTCCTCTGGAGAGTTTTATTACGAGTGGATTGTCTGACTGATTCAGAAGGTGCATGATGTCGCACGGTCAAAACAAAAGTATTTTGATTTTAAAATTACTTTCAGCACCACATTCAATTCAGTTTATTTCTATGATGCCAAGTCACAACAGAAGTCATCTCAGGGCACTGAACAGAAACATTTATATATAAAAACAACAAGTTAACACTATTTATCTGAGGAGCAGACTGCTTTGAGTTTAATTCCATCATAGATTCTCATCTTGACCAAGCTTAAAGGCGACAGTGGGAAAAAAAAACTCCCTCATGAGGAAGAAACCTTTAGCAGAACCAGGCTCAGGGCAAGTGGCCATCTGCTTCGACCAGCTGGGTTTGAGAGGAACAGATACACAATGGCAGGTCGAGAATCACATGTTAAAATAGAAATAGTATCAAATGAAAACTATTCATTTTATGAAATTAGGTCAGTTTGTCCTCCAGTAGTCTAAGTCTATAGCAGCATAGCAAGTCAACCCTAACTATAGGATTTACTACTACTAATAATAATAATAATACATTTTATTTGTATAGCGCTTTTCTAAATACTCAAAGACGATTTACATGAGTAAAAAATAAATACAAAATAAAATCAACAATGCATAATACATAAAACACAGTAAAACATTAAAAAGGGCACACTTGAACATTAAAACGATTTTAAACAGGTGGGTTTTGAGTTCTTAATAAAGTCTTAATCCCAGTCTTAAAACTGGACAATGTGTCAGTCTTATGGACAGAAACTGGAAGTTGGTTCCACAAGAGAGGAGCCTGACAACTGAAAGATCTTCCTCCCATTCTGCTTTTGGAAACTCTAGGAACCACATGTAAGCCTGCAGTCTGAGAGTGAAGCGCTCTGTTGGGAAAATATGGAACAATAAGATCTCAAATGTGAGATGGAGCTAGGTTGTTGAGGGCTTTGTAGGTTAGAAGTTAAATAGATGCATGAACATTACAATCACCACTGTAGTTTAAACCACCCTCATGGTTTCTTTACACTTTCATACAGCCAGGCTGTCTTGTAACCTTTAAAAGTGACTTTGAATTCTTCAGGATTTCTGAAGGTTTTTCAAAAGTTTTCTTTGGACTTCACAGTCCACTCATCCTACCCGACTGAGAGCATATAGTATAGCAGGGGTGTCCAATCCTGGCCCTTGAGAGCCTCTATCCTGCATATTTGACTTGTTTCTCTGCTCCAACACACCTGAATTAATGGATGAATTACCTCTAAGTGTTCTGCAGGATCAGGATACTTTTACCGTATTGTATAGTTTGTTTTTTTTTAAAAAAAAGAGTAAATTGAACAAATGGAAGACAAATAAAGACGAGACAGGCCTAAAAACAAGTTACCTGGTTTGATTTGATAAAGACATGCAGTCAAGTCTACTTTTTTGCCTCATCTTTCCAGTTGACCTGCATGTACAACTACATCAAAGGAGACTCGGACGCCGCCAGCTTCGAGCTCTACCCTCCTGACATGCTGCTGTACTACAAGTAAGAATGTGTCATTTCTTGTTAGTTACAGGTCAAAAACCCGTATCCTCCTCAGTGACGTGACAGTTGTCTTTTCTGCGTCTCTGTCCAGTTACTCACTGGTGCCACAGAGCAGCTGCAGGTCTTATTTTGAACAGCTGGGCAACGCAGACTTCTCTGTCTTCTCCTCGACCCTCAGCTACAAACGGACTGCTCTGTTTGAAAACGCCAAGAGCTGCCTGGTAAGAGCAAGGAAGAGACTAAATGAAAACTACCATAAATGGTTTCCTCAAACTTCATATAGAAAAAATTAAACATTGACCGTTTTCCCCAATAAATCTCAAACCAAAGAAGCTCAACTCCCGAACCTCATAATTTATTTTTAAAAAGTTTGTTCACTTATGTGTCTGTTCAATAACAATAATTACCAAACACCATCCAGAGCCATATTGTAATTAAATTTCTGGAACAAGAAACATGTCACATATTGGGAAAAAATATTAATCTTTTTGATAAATCATCACACCATCAGCCAGGCTGCATATGCACCCAGCAGCAGCGTGAGTTACACGGTCAAAATCTGAACACAAGGAGAAAAACGGAAACATTTCAACTTTCTTAAACAAAAACAAAAGGCTGACGTGGTAATAAAAACTTACAGAAAACACAAGAAGTCAAGGAGGAACAAAGGAGTGCCAGACTAAAGATGGAGGGAGAAGTGAGGGCATAAACAGGCTGAGACTAATGAGATGAATGGATGCAGCTGAGGGTAATGGGAATGGGGAACAGGTGTAGGTGGGTGTGGCAGGCGCAGAAATTGGCTGTGGAAAAGTACAGAGGAAGAGTGAACTGGCACAGAAGACACTGGGAAAAACTGCAAGATACAGAAAAACAAAAGATGAAATAAATGTGAAAATAATAAACAAATATATTTAAAACAACCCAAACAAGAAAACCCCTGATATTAACTGTGTTAAAGGTGGCCAAGCACAAACAAGTTCAACACTACTGACTAGTCATCACTAATGAGTAATGAGGGAATTAATGTTAGCTGATTGACAGCACGTCACCTTTAGATTACAAACTAACATAACCCTTTAAGATACGTTGTTTAACAACATTTTCCAAATAAATTATATACAACTACACAAAACAGTGTGTGAAGCAGCTAAAGCACTTGTTATAAATACTTGGTAAAAATACAGAACCTCAGTGACCTACACAAGGCGAGGTCAGTGAGCAAGGGCAGGCTGATTCTGGCAGATCCTGATCATCACTCCATGGTGAGTTCAGGTTGCTTCCATCTGGATGCAGGTATCTGCAGCCCAGATGTAGAACAAACAGACTGAAAAGCTCATTCATCTCTCTAGAGATGAGGCTTCTCAACGAACGGTGATGATTTCATGTATTATATTTTAATTTCTCAGTGTCTTGTCTAGTATGGATGTTTTGTGTGCCTACTGACTGTGAAACAAATTGCACCTTGGGGATAATAAATATTCTTGAACTAAATTGAAGAATGCCTTATGTGGAAACTAACATCTTATTAATTTTTTTTTTCTAAACCTGAAAGCTCTTCTCTTGCACAGTCTCATTGTGTGGAATATTCAACAAACTTCTGTAAGAAATCTTTTGCGCTGATTGATTCTGCCATCAAACACAAACAACTTTCTATTAAAAATGAATTGTGAGATTCGTTCAGCTAACAAGCTGGCAATAAAATGTCCTTTTTACTAATTGCGGTGGCTGCCGATGCGAGGCGGATCAACTCAAGTCATTTTAAAATAAAGATTTCTACAAAGAGAAGCAAAACTATAAATGTAGTTTTTCATTGCTTGCATCATAGGGCAATCGTGTCTGTTTTTCATTTAAGGGTGTAACAAACACAAGCTTGACTCGAGATAATATCTCAGTGTTGGGAAACATGTGCTGCGTCTTGGACAAATCCTACATCGTAAACGCTGACCCGTCCATCTTGGAGAAACTCAAGACCTGCTCAGATCTGAGTGATGCTCAAGCAGCTGCAGTTCAGTCTCTGCTGATTGGTGGGAACACATCATATGGGTAAGTCCGCAGCAGCAACAACACATTTAATTTATCATGTTGTTTTAAAAAAAGTCTAAAAGTTGTTAGTTTTACACCTTTTGCAGGAACAAATGTAAGCATCCTTTAGAATGACCAGTTTCTGTTTGACTTACCACCAGCGCTCCTTCAACCTGGAATGACAACACTCTGATCAACCTCGAGCCGCTCCCGTTGTATTTGACCTCGGCCTTCTTTGAGAACTTCAGCAAAGTGAGCAACACGTGGATACTTCAGCAGAAAAAGTCTCAAGGACGATGCTGGAGCGAGACGGATGACGTTTCCTGCCTTTCTCTCCTTCACAGAAAGCAAAGCAAACCTTTTTGAAGAATTTCCTGAACGTTCTCAAGAGGGACGGAGTGAGCAGACAAAAGCGCGGGAAGATGACTGCTGAAATAAGAAACTCTAACAGAGTTAGGTCGAAGCGAGCTACAGGTCAGTCCGTTTCCTGCTTCACACATTTTTGACAAGAAATATTTGATTTTCACATAGTTTTGGTCTTGTTTCAGTCACTGAGTGCACTGTAGGACTGATCACCCATGTGACTATCAGCGACGACACCTTCCCCTTCAGCTATGACGATATAAATCAGTTCAACAGCTGCCTCACTGCTGCCATGGTCAAAGACAACCTGGAGGCCATCACTCAGAAGGTGGATCAGCAGGATTACCTCCAGATTGTCCTCAGCAAGCTGCGACAGGTAAGGAACGCAAAACAATAAAGGAGCGACGGGTTTAAGAGAATTGTTTTATTTTTTAAACTTCGATCCTTAAAAGACCTGAACTACCCCTAACTGCAAATCCAAACTAGAGAAGTTGCATTTCCTGTAAAAATGCAGTGCGAATGCTTATTGTGGAAGAACTTGTTGAAAAACACAAAGTTTATTTTCTCAGTCATCCAGGTATATAACAACAAAAAAGGTTGAATCATG